AAACCTTCTTAGCTGTGCAGCCAGGGGTGCGACCCTGGCAGGGTTTGAGCGTTGTAGCCAAGTCTTGCCAGGTAACTTCAGTCCTGCCTCTGGTTTGTGTTTCTTTAATTTGCCTTGGGGCCAAGTCTTCCCACAGATTGGAATTGTTGGAGGGTAGGAGGAGGGAACAGGGGGGTTGAGGGCATAGATGCTTTGCCCCAGGTGAAGGCAAGTGCAGTCTAGTGGGGCAAGTGGATGAAGTTCACAGAGGTTCAGGCAGAGACACGTGGGTTGGGGTGAGGAGAGCACAGAGAGTGGAAGAGAGGTTGGTATCATTTGAATCGTGTGAGCAGTTTCACCTGCTCTTCCCCTCAGAGTCTGCGATTTCCCCAGGTGGTCTGTGTGTGGGTGCCTCTCCATACAGCAGCTTACCTTGAAGGGTGACCCTTGACTGATTCTCTTCCGTTAACCCTTCCCTCACAGAAGATGCAACTCCACTATACTCCCGTCACAAGGGACGAGTTTCAGCAAAACAACATCATCTCTTACATTAAATTAATCTTGTTACTTCTAATCATATTGGTTACATTCTTGTTCTTATATAATTTGTCATTGTGCTTGGTTTTATAATTGTACAAGCTCATGAGAATAAGGTATTGATACCTAGTTATTTTATTTGTCTATACTTAATTAATATAATAGAAACAATATAATGGAGAAAGCACTGGATTTTTTGTGCCTTGAAAGGATAAGCTTCCTTTCCTCACTGGGCCCCTTTGCTCTGTGTGACTGTGCAGCCCACCTGGATACAGTGGCCAGTAAATTAACCCGACCTCTTATTGATCTATTAGCAAAGATCAGAAGACGTTGTGCAGTGTAACGGAAATAAAGACAAAAATAAACAAATGGGACCTAATTAAACTCAAAAGCTTCTGCACAGCAAAGGAAACCATAAACAAAATGAAAAGACAACCCACAGAATGGGAGAAAATATCAATATTTGCAAACGATGCAACTGACAAGGGATTAGTCTCCAAAATTTACAAACAGCTCATGCAGCTCACTATCAAAAAAAACCAATCAACCCAATCAAAAAATGGGCAGAAGACCTACAGAGACATTTCTCCAGAGAAGACATACAGATGGCCAAGAGGTACTTGAAAAGATGCTCAACATCGCTAATTATTAGAGAAATGCAAATCAAAACGACAGTGAGGTATCACCTCACACCAGTCAGAATGGCCATCATCAAAAAAATCTACAAACAATAAATGCTGGACAGGGTGTGGAGAAAAGGGAACCCTCCTACACGGTTGACGGGAATGTAAATTGGTGCAGCCACTATGGAGAACAGTATGGAGGTTCCTCAGAAAACTAAAAATAGAATTACTATATGATCCAGCAATCCCACTCCTGGGCATATATCCGGACAAGATGAAAACTCTAATTCGAAAAGATACCTGCACCCCAGTGTTCATTGCAGCACTATTTACAATAGCCAAGACGTGGAAGCAACCTAAATGCCCATCAGCAGATGAATGGATACAGACGTGGTACATATATACAACGGAATATGACTCAGCATAAGAAACAATGAAACAATGTCATTTGCAGCAATGTGGATGGACCTGGAGATTATAATACCAAGTGGAGTAAGTCAGACAAAGACAAATATCATATGACATCCTTATATGTGAAATCTAAAAAAAAAATAATAATACAAATGAAATTATTTACAAAACAGAAACAGACTCACAGACATAGAGAACAAACTTACGGTTGCCGGGGGGAGGGGTGGGGGAAGGATGGATTGGGAGTTTGGGATTGACATGTACACACTGCTATATTTAAAATAAAATGCCTTTCCACGAAAAAAGAAAATAATTTTTAAAAAGAGAAGACTTTGTAAGTGATGTAAATGGAGCTTGAAGCTTATTGGGATTATTTTTCAGTAGCCCTATCTACACGTGAAATAGGGGTTCCGAGGAAAATCTGAATTAAGGAGGAGAGTGGGATTTAAATTATTATCAAAAAAAAAAAAGGTGAGGATGATCATGGCAGTGACTGACGTTGGTGATGGTGGGGGCGGTTAACATTTATTGAGCATTTGCTAAGTAACCTGAAATGGGCCTGTGCTTTCCATGGTTATTTTACTTGACCCTTAGAACAACCCTTTGAGGCAGGTGCTATTACAATCACCCCACTTTACACAGAAGGAACCCAAGTAAGTAACAATTAAGTAACTTGTCTGAGAGATTCAACTGGGATTCAAGATCAAATATGTTGCCTCCAGGCCTTAGAGCTGAGTCTTAAGTGCATGGAGAGGGCAGGGAGGCTATTCCAGGCCAGAAAATGTGAACCCAGGGAATGATGGAGGGGGTGTGTGTGCCTGTGCTAGGGAGGGTACCAGGGGAGGTGCTGGCAAGGAGGTCAGCATCCAGTTACACAGCCTGGCAGAGCAGTGAGACTATGAAATACTGATGAAAGAGTTTTTAAAAAAAAGGATGAGTTCATCCTTTTATACTGTTGTAGGAACCCTGATAAGACATCCTGAGAATGGAATAAGCAATGTGCAGGACGACACAAACATTTATTTAGAAAAGAAACACGTGTGTGTGTGTGTGTGTGTGTGTGTGTGTGAGTGTGAGAGAGAGAGAGAGAGAGATTAAATGTTTGCACAGAATTGATCTGGAAAGATATCCTTCCAAGTTCTGACAGTGTCCATGTGTGCCAAGGATGCAGGCTGCAGGTACTAGTGGTGACGGTCAAAGGAAACTTGAGCTTTTTTTAATTTAATTTTTATTTTATATTGGAGTATAGTTGATTTACAATGTTGTGTTAGTTTTAGGTGCACAGCAAAGTGAATCAGTTATACATATACATGTATCTATTCTTTTTCAGATTCTTTTCCCTTATAGGTTATTACGGAATATTGAGTAGAGTTCCCTGTGCTATACAGTAGGTCCTTGTTGATTATCTGTTTTGTATGTGGTAGTGTGTGTATGTTAATCCCAAACTTCTAATTTTTCCCTCCCCCATTTTGGTAACCACAAGTTTGTTTTCAAAGTCTGTGAGTCTGTTTTGTAAATAAGTTCATTTGTATCATAGATTCCACAAATAAGTGAAGTCATATCATATTTGTCTTCTCTGTCTGACTTACTTCACTTGGTATGATAATCTCTAGGTCCTTCCATGTTACTGCAAATGGCATGATTTCATTCTTTTTTATGACTGAGTGATGTTCCATTGTAGTTATGTACCACATCTTGTTTATCCATTCCTCTGTCAGTGGACATTTAGATTGCTAAAGGAAACTTGAGCATTGATCTAGCATTTATGTTTTGTTTTCTGTTTGTTTGTAAGCAAGATGACTGCATTCATGCACTTAGGTAATTCTGAAAAGGTGAGGGTGTTGTTAGGAGAAAAGAAAAAGAAATGGACTCATTTGGGAATTTCATATTCTGTGCCATCTCCAAATCCTAGACTTGAAGATTTCAGGACTGTTTACATTGTTGGAGCTGAGGTAATGCAAGGGCTAAAGGAACAAATTGTCACTGAACTCAAGGGGAAGACAGCATCCTTGCTGATTAGTTCCTTGTTTAACGTGGAAGACTATTTGGAGTTTGAGAAATCTGAGCATTGGCATAGGGCTGTAGAGAACGTTCTGGTAAAGCAAGTCCCTTCTTGCGTTACCTGGCCCAGAGGTGGGAATAGGGATCAAAATGGGAAGAAAAGACCCTTTTTTTTTTTTCTTTTCTTGCGGTACGCGGGCCTCTCACTGCTGTGGCCTCTCCCGCTGCGGAGCACAGGCTCCGGACGCGCAGGCTCAGCGGCCATGGCTCACGGGCCCAGCCGCTCCGCGGCATGTGGGATCTTCCCGGACCGGGGCACGAACCCGCGTCCCCTGCATCGGCAGGCGGACTCGCAACCACTGCGCCACCAGGGATGCCCAGAAAAGACCCTTTGAGGTACAGTCTGCCCTCCACATCCGTGGGTTCAGTTTCTCGAAACTTCTGTCCGAGGGGGTTGAATCTGCAGATGCGGAACTTCCAATATGGAGGCCGATTGTATTCACGTACTACGTACACCTCCGTTTTTATTCTTTTATTTGTTTTATTTTTATTGGAGTACAGTTGCTTTACAATGTTGTGTTAGTTTCCTCTGTACAGCAAAGTGAATCAGCTATACGTACACATATAGCCGCTCTTTTTTAGATTTCCTTCCCATTTAGGTCACCACAGGGCACTGAGTAGCATCATTCTATGTGCTATACAGCAGGTCCTCATTAGTTACCTATTTTAAATACAGTAGTGTATATATGTCAGTCCCAATCTCCCAATCCATCACCCCCCAGGCGTGCTTTTTTTTTTTTTTCGGTACGCGGGCCTCTCACTGCTGTGGCCTCTCCCGTTGCGGAGCGCAGGCTCCGGACACGCAGGCTCAGCGGCCATAGCTCACGGGCCCAGCCGCTCCGCGGCATGTGGTATCTTCCCGGACCGGGACACGAACCCGTGTCCCCTGCATCGGCAGGCGGACTCTCAACCACTGCGCCACCAGGGAAGCCCGAAGCATGCTATTCTTGATGAAGGAAAGGCTGGCTTTTAACTTTCCCAGATATGAGAACCAGGAGAAAAGACATGGAACCTTGGAAAGTGAAGATAAAAAATTTTTTTAATTAAAAAAATTTTTTTAATTGGGAGAAGAAACTTCACAGCCACCAATGTGTTAACAAAGGGGAGAACGATTGTTAGCATTTGACTAAAGGCCTCCAAGTACAGTCAAATATAAATATTTATTGAGTAACCCAGCCCAAGGCATGGAGCTTAATAATAAGGAACTTGGACGTCGTGGGTTTTGGTATCCACAGGTCCTGGAACCGACCCCACGCAGACACCTAGGATGACTGTGCCCTCACCTCTCAGCACCCCCTCCCAGCCAGGTGAAGGGCAAGTCCCCGTGTGGTTTTCGTGGCATTTTAAAAATGCGTACAAATGCTAAGTGGCCAATTCTGTGTGTTGTAGATGGATAAAGGACATGTGGACTTTTGAGCTTCCGCCGGAGAAGATAACAGTTCAAGCCCTCCAGGATGCTGGGCAGGTGGAGGCTGGAGTGAGAGATGCTGGCGTGAAGGGTAAGTGACGACTGAAGCCCAGTGCGCCACGGCCTGGACTCTGGTTTCCAAGTTCCTCAGTGTGCGGGGGTATGGTGTGCTCTGGCTTGGTGCGCTGCTGTGGATGTGACCTCTCTCTGACAGAGGATCAGGGAGGATGCTTACCTGTTTCCTGGTACCTAAGGGATTCTGTTATCATGCAGTGGCTGCAGGGCCCAACCAAGATGAGGACAGCTCAGGAGCCTCAGAGCGTAAACTGTAACCGTGCACCTTTATGGAGTGCCAACTGTGTGGCAGGCCCTAACGCTTTAATGCATTAATTCATTTCATTCTCATCTTAGAGCTGGGCCACCAGGGAGCGCAAGGAACCTGGTTGATTACTGAGAGCATATGGTCCTGATGATGGCCCCATCCCAAGGGAAAAGCCTCTTTCTCTTTCTCATACATCCCCCACTTGCCTTTCTCCCCATGCCCGCTTTTCATCTTTTTTTTTTTTCATGGAATCATAGATCTCTGTATGAAAGGGACTTAGCATCAGAGGGACGTCAGCATAGGTCACCGTGGCGGATCACAGTTTCCCTAAATGGCCACCGTGGTATCGCTGCTCTTCCAGAACCTTGCCGGGTCCCCTCAAGCTGGGAGGTCTGCTTTCCCTCCTCTTGAGTCTGGGTGGGACTCGGCGACCACCTTCACAGGGAAGGCGGCAGAGGTGACATTGAGTGACCTCAAAGCCGAGATCAGCAAAGCGTACGGGGCTCCCAGCCGACGTTCAACGCTCCGGGCAGGGCTGCCTGTGAGACCAGCCGGGCCCCGTGGAAAGGCCCCGAGTAGGGGTTCCAGCCGACAGCCCCTCCAGGGCCCCATTGACACGTGAGGGAGACTTCTGATGGCGCCAGGCCCCAGCCTTGGAGCTGCTCCACCGCTGCCAAGTGGAGTGAGGACAAAGTGAACTGTCCCCACGGAGCCCTGTCCCCACAGCAGATTCAGGAGAGGATAAACATCGTCACTGCTTGGTGCTCTCTCATTTAAACCCACCACGACACCGTTGAAGGTAGATGTCATTCATTACACAGATTTACAAATAAGAGGAAGGAGGCCGAGTCAGATGAAGTGACTCACCCAAGGCCACACGAGGAGCTGGGATTGGAACCCAGGGCTCCCTGATCCCCAGCTTGTGACATCCCCCCCTACCCCAGGGCCCGTTCCTTCTGGACTGGGAGCTGGGGCCTTTGCTGCCCCTCAAACACAGCCCTCTCAGAGAAGGCAAACCATTTGGAATAGGAGGTCCAGAGAATACAACTTTGGAGAACTAGCTTTACATAGTTTGCTTTGACTCTCTTTCCTTAATTTGAATCCTAGTTAAACCCTGGGATCCTGCTTTAAACATACAGTCCTCTCGGGAAGCTGCCTGCTTTCCCTCCAAGAGCTTAGATTCGTGGTATCTGCTCGTGTTACACGAGATTCAGATCATGTGAAGTAATAATCATGTTTCTGTGTCATCCCTGTTTGACTTCAGGCTCTGTGAGGCCAGAGCCTGGTCTGTGTCTCCTATTTCTCAGTTTTTAGCACAGACTCTAACCTGTAGTAGACAGTGAATAAATGCAAGTTAAATAAATACCAAAGAGCCCTTAAGTGTGAATTTTCTTGAGAAGGATGATGGTAGCATATAAGGAAGTGCAAAATTCCAGGTATAAATACTGAAGTCTTATCTTGGTGCTAAAGGTTTGTCTTTTGAGGTCAAGGTTTCTTTGTCATTTCCTTTGTTTCTCCTGTTAGATAAAACATCTTTGGGTTTCACTTTTATAAACAAAGAACTTCCACAAAAGACAACAGTAAACTAAACAATAACAGGAACTGGCAGAGCTCTGAGACGATATTTCTCTGTGGGTTGTTATTCAAGTGGAAGATATTTTCAGATGTGCAGCATTAGAGAATTGACTTTGGTATGAATGTTGAAATGTGACATGTAACGTCCACACTCATCGTGGTCGACCTTTGCTCATAGTATCGGTGGCCTTGTGTCTTTCAACTTGAATTTAGTTCCATGTCTGCGTGGCATTGCAGCAGCTCCAGAACTGGGGACAGCTCTTCTCTCTGCATTGTCCAGAGTGTCTAACACTGGATCCTACGCTCAGTAGGTGGAAGATCCTCAGGACCAGAATATGAGGCTATTAGTTTCTTTTATTTTGGCCTCTGGGATCCTAGTTCCCCAGCCAGGGATCAAACCCTGGCCATGACAGTGAAAGCACCGAGTCCCAACCACTGGACCGCCAGGGAAGCCCCGAGGATTTTGTTTTTTAAGAAGGAGAAATGAATGCATGCAAAATGTTAGGCAAGTTTAAATCCTTAATCATCTTTTTTTTAGTGCCTAATCTATCTGTCAGCTTTTGCCGTCTAACAGACCCCCCAAAACTCAGTAGCTTCAAATAATAGTCATGGATTTAGTTCACGATTCTGCAGGTGGGAAGTTCAGGCCACCTGGGTCAGCTGGTCTAGCTGGGTTTTCTGGGCTAACTGGTTGGCTGGGAGCTGACAGGTGAAGGAAGCCTCGGCCCAGGTGACCCACCTCTGCTCTGCTCCCCTCCCCCCAGCAGGACTCCAAGAGGACGCACGTGCACGGCTTCTTGAGGCTGGGGCTCGAGAAGGACACAGGGCTACTTCTGCCGCTTTCTATTGGCCAGAGCAAGTCACAGGCCACTTCAGATCCGAGACATGAGCAGTAGGCTCCAGCCCTTGGTGGCAGGGTTTGCAAAGCCTGCAAGGGACAGGCTCGCAGGGAGGGTGGAGAACTGTGGCCACCGTGGAAATGCACACACCCAGTAAGATGCGGCATTGTGCGGGGGACACTGGCAGCGCTACAGTGCAGGTGGTGGAAATGAAACTCCTTATGTGCTTTATAACTTATGAGAAAATGGAACTGGATTGAGAGGAGAGGCTAGCAGGAGAGGCTGAGATGGACACAGAAGAGAAGAGCCCTGGGTGCCACACCTCCCCCCAGTTCTCCAGCTCCCAAGTCTGGAAAAGGGGGTGTTGAGACAGGTCGGGGGGAGGGGAGATAGAGGCAGAGCACAGGGTGGATAGTTAGTAGCAAAGAGGGTTTCTTTTCCTTTGCTGCAGTTTTCTCTCCCTCTGTCTGCTGGGGGTGGCAGGCAGATCACAGGTGAAGAGCAAGGAGCCGCCTTCACGTCTGAGTCAGCAGAAGGCGCCCTGCGCGGAATCCGACAACCCGGGGACAGCCTCAGTGCCGCCTGCTTCCTGCCCCTGAGGCTTCAAGTGCATGTGTTTGTCTGATGGGTTTGTTTGCTGGAGGGGAGGGGAAGGGTCGAATGGTCTGTCTGCTGCGTCCCTTTTGCCGTGGCATTTCAGGGAGGCTTCACCTTGCACCGCCGGGCCCCAGCCTCCTGACATCTGTTTTGCATCTCTTTGCCACAGTGGCCCTAGAAGGCTGAGACTGAGTTATCATCGCTTTACAGATGGGGAAACCGAGTGCTGAGAGGTTCAGGAACTTGCCTGGATCACACAGGTGGGCGGTGGCCGGAGCAGGGTTCGAAGCTGGGCTATGCTTTGGGTTCCACGGTACATGGCCCTGAACACTGCCATGCTGTATGGCCTGCAGGTCAGACAGAAACGGCTGCCCAGCCAGGTGTAATCAGGACAGCGGGGTGTCATCCCTTCCCCTCCCCGGCCGCTACTTGGAAGGAGGTCTGAGGTCTGAGGACTGTGCTTAGGAAGGTGTCACCCTAGAGAATTCAGCAGCAGCAAGAAGCAGCTACCTGGGGGAAACCCCGCCCTCCCCCAGGTCATCAGGAGCCCTGGGTAATCAGGGTGGGGAATTTCCAGCCTCCTCCCCTGGCAGAGCCCTGAGCCCCCACCCCACCCCCGAGGCCGGATCTGAGCACCCTGCTTCACAGCAGCCCCGGGAATGCTCTGGTGGGGGCTGGGCAAGCCTGGTCCTCTGCCCAAGTCCTCGGGCCACTGCTGAGTCCGTTTGAAATATTCCTCACTCAGCTCCTCCCAGTTCCTCTGGGAAGGGCTCGTGCGCCCCAGCCACGTGCTCCGAGGAGCGGGACCCCACTGGCATCTCCCCCCGGACGCCCCTCTTGTACCATCTCTGGTTCTCAGGCTTCCCCTGCTCTCCATGCACAAGAACGCCCTGAACCAAATATAGTCGATGGAGGATGCTCGTTTATGGCCCTGCTCATGGTTTAGTTAAAGGCAGTGCTGCCGTCAGCTGGCTGAGACTTTTAAAGTGGTTTCATGAGGATGGAATGTGTTCCTTTTTCTTCATTCTCTTTTTTTTCCTTTTTCTTTTCCTCAGTGCTACCCATTCTTTCCAATAGGCGGATGCAGCTTGGAAGCCCGACGGTAATAAGGAGAAGCAGGAATTGCTTGAAAATAGTAGCATTTATTAAAGGCTTTGCACAAGCCAGGTCCTGTTCTAGGCACGTTATGCTTTCTTTTCTCACAACAGCCCTGAGGGGCACTGGTTTTGTCCCCATTTTACAGATGAGGAAACTGAGGTACAGGGAGGTGAAGTCACCTGTGTGTCATGATGCCTGGCACATTCAAGTGCTTGATATTATTTGTAAAATGAGCCATGTCTTAGTTTGAGTCGAAAATTCAGGTGCAAGGGTTTCTATGGGCAGTTTCTATGGGCAGTACAGAAGGGCATAAGGGGGTGCAGCTGGGGCTGGGAAGGGGGAGAGGCCATTCAGGGTGGGGCCTGAGCAGGTGACTGCTGTGGGTGACCGGGGCTCAGTCCCACTGGGGACCTGTGACAGATCATGTAGGGGGCATCTGGGAATTGTCCCACCAAGGGACACGGAAGCTGGGGTGTTCCTAGCGAAATCGTGGGGACCTTTTGAAGCAATTGTGAATTTCACAATTATATCCTATAAGTTGCCCCCATTTGTCCAGGGAAGGAAGGAAGGAGAACCTATTGTGCAGAATTCCCCTGGCTTGCTGAACTTCCCCTTAGTTCTCTGCATCTCAACTCTTCCTGTGCAACAAACTGCCCCCAG